TATTGGTCGTCAAAACTGACATCCGAAAACCGCAGGAGCGAAGGTGTGAAAGCCCTCCTATTGGGCGGCCTGAAGCGCATCCAAGCGCACTCCATACTGATCATACTGATAGTGGAGTCACCGTGGATATTCAGGAAGTTGTTTCACTGTGTTTGTCGGCAAATCAAGATGCTTGTTGGCAACTTGGCTTCATCCATGATATCCCCCACTCATACCTGAGCACCGACAGAGTGCGGGAAGGTAAGTATCCAACATATAGTGCAGAATACCGCCACTCCTCAGCCGGCCTTTCAAGATCCGAAACCTTTCTTTTAACCATATGCTGGTAAAGTACCTTGGTCCACTCTATCGGACAGCTTTCAAGTGGTCGGCACTTTGGCTAGCTTAGATCGGGTTTCTTGGATGGAGGTTGCAAGTTACCTTTATGCGGTTGGCGTATGGTGTTTTCCGACGTGCAGCCCCCGTAAACATTACTCCGTATGCTCGAGGAGAAAGGTTTGTTCTATTTTTGCCGATGTTCAATCAAATCCATCACCCTAGCCAATTGAGCCCATCCGCACCCATATAGTATCAGGCAAGAAGTTGATGAGCAGTTACTCTAGGTTAACCCGAGAAACAATTTTTGTCTTTTACGAAAACATCCTCCAATAACACTCGCACTCGGTGCTCAAGCACTAAGGGTTTTTTAAAGTCGAAAATATTATTTTCCAGTGACGAATAAACACCCGGAATTGCATTACTCTATGACAATTCCCACCTTTCTGGTGTATTGTACGGTGCCGTAGCATATTTGGGTTTACCGAGACCTTTACCCCCTCGTTTGTATTGGCGGTCAAAGGCGGAAACACGGTCACGACCTCCTTCCACCATACCATAATTATCATATCTGAAAGGACGATAATGACACTTATTCGAGTAAATACTCCGCAGATCCCCAGGGTCAGAAATGTTTAACCGCCAGAAGACCTCCCTCCAAGCCAGGTATTCCTCTTGCTCTCGAGCCAAAATTCCCTGAAATTCGGCATTCGGACGTACAGTAGGGATATCTATCCAAAAAAAAAAAAAAAAAAATTGCTATACTCGTACCCGAGCACTAGTATCATGCCTTATCAAGGGCAGCATCCCCCTAACCGCCTTACACAAGAGGAATCCCATAGTGTTCGGTCTTTTTGAAAGACTGCTGGTGGCGCAAGATACCAGTACAGTACTGTACTATACCCAATGAGAGTAATCATGTCACACACATGACAACGGCTCTTACTCGTACAAGGAGAAAACCTACCAGTATTCTATATTAGCCAATCTCGGGCCCTCCCTATAGAATACATAACATACAATAATAATACTTTCTCAAGTAGCTACGGAGGACAAGAGAGTTCCACAGCCGCTACAGGATTCTATTTAACAGCTCCACTAGAACTCAGGAACTATGCACGGAGCAGAAAGAAATCTTAAAAAAAATCCGGGGCTAAAAATCCTAAAATATTCCAGCATGCTTTAGAAATAATTATCCTACTTTCTCCGGTAAAAATTTCTTACCTTTGACTTTTCGTTAACGAACGCCGTAAGATCCGTTTTAGCCTCTACGCTTTGCACTCAGTTACTTTGGTGCATTAAAATATGCTACCAATACCCAAAACGTGAAGACACTACTGGCTAATACTCGTACCATAGATCAATCTAATTCAACTTCCCGTGTTTATTCGTGACCGAAAAATCAGGCCGGCCGGATTCAAGTTGAGGGCCCTTTCGACGTTTGAATACTCTATCAACTCGACAAGCAAACCACCCGTCTCAGGTAGCCAACCTCAAGTCGCCCCAACTTAAATTTACACCGTCGACGGACACCCTCAAGGTGTCATTTGTATCACGAGAGGTTCGGTTGAAACCGTTTGCCGAACTGATCGACCGATGGTGACACCCCCCACAAAAAGTTCGACAGCTGAAGTTCAGCCTATGAAGGTTAAGGATCATATCAGTTGGAGGTGGGGGCTACCGTACGATTGTTATCATGACCAGACACAGGGCGGAGGTGAACTTTTTGCGGGAAAAGTCCTCATGTCAAAGAACGCCGGCTAGACTACCGAAGTCCAAACAAACCCTCACCTCCCTTAAACTACTTGTACAGTACCGGCACAGTACTCTCCCCCCACACACAGTACGATACGAGCCCCGTCGTCCCCCGCATTGCAACCTTCTCAAAATACCGGTATTTTAGCTTCTTCTCCCAAGATTCTTGATATTGAGCCAAGTTGGCAACGCCCTCCTTCCAAGACCCGGTTGAAGAGAAGTGCAGGATTGCAAACAGAATAGGGCTGCAAATCAGAAGCGAGTGACTGCCCTATGACAGGTGACGAGGCTTTCAGCGCGAAATAATGACTTTTTCCGCACAAGTCGACCAATCATACCTGTTTTTGTTTTTTGTTTTTATTATTAACGGCCCAATTCCATGATGCGGGGTGGAGTACTCGAGTAGATCATGGATTGAGTAGTCTACTGGTATGGAGCATACCATGTCGGTACTTGCCATAAAGGTTTTTTTGGTGTAAAAGTGGAGAAATCATGTATGGGACGAGACCCGCGGAGGGTTCCAGAAGTGCAACTTACTCTGCCTGCTGCTACAACTTGAGAAAGCCCTGACTTGGAAACGATCCAAGGGGGCCGCCAAGAAACACCATGTATTGGTGGAGGGCGGCGAATGAGCCTGATATGACACGACACTCGAAGCGTCAAGTTGCATGGTATTTTGTTCTTCCTCCTTCCGTTCTCTCGGCGAACAGAAAATCTCGGCCGTGAAATGGCATGGCAGCCCATTGCAAAAGGCCCGCCCGAGGATACCCGGAAAGACGCGCCAAAAAAGAAAAAACTGGTCAAATCAAGCAAGGGCTCTCTTTCTCTCCAAGAAATTGCGCGAGTAGCCTATCCGTAGAGGAGACCTCGCCTCCCACGAGGAGGACCGAATGAAGCTTTTCAAAAATTTGCGAGTGAAGAAAAGATGAAGAATTGCAAGAGCTCTTGAAGAACGATGCCGGTAGTTTATTACCCTGATAGGGGACAGCTGTGGAACCAGTTGTGGAACAGTGGGCAGGGGTGGCAAAGGTTCACCCGTCTTGGGGTCTTTGCCGATAGGTCCACATGTAGACTATGTGGCTGGGAATATAGTGGCGGGATGATTCTAGAAGTTGTTTCCTGAGGGATAGCCCAGCCTGCCGTGATCCCCGAAAGAATTTCTGACCGGATTGGGCACAAGACATCATTAGTCGCAGCTGCCGCAGTAGATGCTACTCGAGTAGTCAATTCTTTGTACGAGTACCAGGTATTTAGTCTAAAGAGGAGAGAGAACCCTTTCTTTTCAGACTCATACATTGTTTGTTACATATCAGTATCCCGTGCTCAGCACTTTGAATCCAACGGGACTCGAGTCCGGCTTGCAAGTGATAAATTATCGGTCGTGCAACCGGACTGAAGAAGAACGGACCCCACCAGGAAAAACAGATCACGCGACCTTATCTCCTTGATAAAGCGTCTTGGCATCCTCCGGGGGGAACTGTGGGTGGGGAAGGGTTTCACTGATTGGGTAGTCGGAGATGCGAAAATTCCTAGGTACCACCGCGTCATTGAGGCTCGGCGGGGGGGGGGGGCAATCTCAGAGCTTTTCCATTCTGTTTCTCATTCGTGCTTTTCTGGATTAATCACGGAACACGTTGCACTTTTACCGCCTCTTGATGGCGAACCGGAGGACTGGATTGAGTAGGTTTCAGGCAGACTTTGGGCAACTGCGCTCGAGTACCGCTTAACTTGTCTGGGAGTGGAACTATGGACCCAGCTCAGCTCAGATTGAGGCTAAAGCCTAACTTTTGACAAAGCTGCTAGTACGAGTATCGGCACAGTGCGCTACTCGTACCGGTGCTCGAGTACCGGTAGTGATTGGGCGGAAGAGGACTTCACGCTGGTTGAGCGCCGGTAACTCATGCCTCTCTCCCTACGGATTGTCTGTTAGGAATGCAGCTCACAGTGCCGGTTCTGGTGTCCCCCCACGTCGTGTGATGGGTTTTTGAGTTTTTGTCATAATTCTACCCATTATACTTCGTACGCGTGTTTTTGGATTCCCCTGCGATATGCAGTATACGAAATGCAGACCGCAAATACCCACGGATGGTGGTGATGTCTCACACCAACTTATGCCCAGAGATATGATATAGGCTCTACGGAGCTGGAGGCAACCGCACGACAACTCTGGGACCGATTCAAACATTTTTGATGCGTCATTTGTGTCGCTTCAAGTCACAAACCCTGCATCTACCGTAGCTGGCAGTGCGATGGTAATATATATGCGGGGTATTGATCACGGAAATCAATGATTATCATACGGAATTTCATAAATCTCTCCTCGAAAATGTACCCATACTGTACTGTGCAGTGGACGGGGGCAGACGGATGAGGGATGCGCCGATAGTTTGTAGGATAAGTAAATTTAGTTACTGTACTCGAGTACGAATAGGTTTGACGAGCGATCATCGTTCTCCATCAGTACAAGCTCAATTCAGTGGTGATCAGTTGGCAGATACTTGCCTGTCTTGTCGAACGCTTGTAACTGCCAAGTACCGATACCGTACAAACCTTGCAAACTGTACTGTACAAGTAGTGGAGCAAACTTGGTGCATGGAGCGAGAACGATGAACCATGATCTATTCGCCAATATTTGTGAGAGTCCGAGGACATTTTTGTGATGATGCTTCCAAGAGAATAACTGAGCACTGATTCTGACTTCCTGTGTGGTTGTTCACACCCATCATGCAGTTGGGCGAGCAGGGATGAAGGAACATCCCTCCCAAACACCCAATGGTATTTCCCACCCGGCACATGGTCTACAGCAGAAGGTCGCTCCCAGAGAATGGAGGATGTGCCTGCGCGTCCTCCGCTCTCTACAAACTATAAAGACTCACCCATCTCACGAGTTTTCCAATTCTTTCACTACCTCCACCTCTCTCTGCCACCCACACATCCTTTGATCCATTCCTAACTTTATTCACCTTTTCCACCCTTTCTCAACGCTTCTCAATCGTTTCTATTGAATGGTCAATCCCAATTCACTTTCCGCTCCGCTCCCCTCAACCCCCACGACCGCCCTACAGCACGGCTCTGGCGTCACTCACTCCATTGCTGCGGAGGAGGGCTGTGATGACCCCCCACCTATATTTTCGCCTCCTGTCGGTAACGCGGCAGGAGGCGTCCCTTCTCACCATCCGGACACAAGTCCAACAAACAATGGTCAGGGCGATGTCTCGGATTCTTGCCCCTACTTAACTACCCGCGGCGAACCTAGCCACCCCCAAACCACTACTACCGAGAACTTTCAGGGCAGTCGGGTCTACGATTACGGCTCACCACCAATCAGTTCCGGCGGGATTCCCTCGCCACCCATGGTAACTCAAAGTCCTGTTTATTCTAACACAAGAAGCGGGCAGAGCTCTACAACAGCTGTTGATACACTCGCCGGGGATGAAACCCCTCCGGCCGATAAGGCAGCTCCACATGCAGCCACTCCATGCGCTCTTGCTTCGCTCTACAGCGTTGACATGAGCTCTGGATTGACCGCAAAGGAGGCAGCGGAGAGATTGTCCCGAGATGGGCCAAACAAGCTTACTGATACCGGGGGTATTACCTGGTGGAGTGTGCTTGTAAGGCAGGTTTCAAACAGCTTGACATTGGTAAGATTCAACCCCTGAAGCCTAAAGGGCATTTTTTGCTTCTCTCTTTTGCTATTTTCACCCCAATTGGGGTCTCGAACGTTTTGAATACACTTCTCTAGTTGCCGAGATTTGTTTTCATCCTGTATTTAGCCCAATCCCCCGGAGAAGAGACTAATCCGAGAGCCCCAATTTCCCTAACCCCCCCCCCCCCCCACACCCGAGCAGCTTATCAGTGCATGTTATGCACAGAAAATCAGTCATTATTGGAAAGAGCAGGATGAAAATAATAATATTGAGCATTCATTCGTTTTTTATCAACCACGGAGGTTTACCCCCGAGCTCGTCAAAACTTTTTGTCTTGTGTCCATCAATGTCTTTTTGAAGGGAAATTGCCCATCGGCGCGTGGGGGGGAACTGTGTTGCGCCGAGAAATGTATACTCATGATTTTTCCTTTTCTCTTATTGTCTTTCTTTTTCGTTCATTAGAGAGAGGACAAAATCCAAACTCATGAATCACTCCTACATTTGTTGCGCATTGCTTGATTTGTTTCTTTCCGACCCGGAGATGGAAACGAGATCAATCGAGAGTGTGCTCTCCTCGTCTAAGATCAAACGGAAACCGGAAGCCCAACCAACAACACAGCAGCTTAGCTAACAAATGGTTATCTGACGGGGTGTAGGTTCTTGTGATTGCCATGGCAGCTTCTTACGGGATGCTTGACTTTATCGAGGGATCCGTCATCTCGGCTGTCATTCTTTTAAACATTGTCATTGGGTTCGCTCAGGATTATCGTGCTGAGAAAACCATGCAATCCCTCCATTCCCTCTCAGCTCCCATCGCAACAGTCGTCCGCAACAATGGACGCATCGAAAAGGTTAAAGCCGAAGAAATTGTTGCTGGTGATATAGTCCGTGTATCCGTTGGTGATGTCGTCCCGGCAGATCTCAGACTTTTCGAAGGAATGAACTTTGAAACAAATGAAGCTCTTCTTACGGGTGAGAGTTTACCAATTGCCAAGACCCCACTCTTGACCCTCCCCCACGCCGATTACCCATTGGGGGACCGTACCAATATGGCCTACTCCTCCTCCACTGTCACTAAGGGACGCGCCGTTGGAATTGTTGTGGCAACCGGAATGAACTCGGAAGTTGGAAGAATTGCCGAGTTGCTCCGTGGAAATAAACGAGATGAGGGCGAATCATTCATTACAAGAACCTGGGGTAGGGCTAAGATGACCATGAAAAATGTCCTTGGTCTTGTTGGAACCCCATTACAGGTTAAGTTGAGTAAATTTGCCCTACTCTTATTCGGCCTTGCTGTCTTGTTGGCTATAATTGTCTTTTCTGCAAATAAGGTACTACTCCACTTTCCTTGTGGGTCAAGAACCTGTATTGACGTGTGAGCCATAGTGGAAAATCAATGATGAAGTCCTGATCTACGGTATTTGTGTAGCTGTGGCCGTCATTCCTGAATCTCTTATCGCGGTCCTCACAATCACCATGGCTGTCGGTACTAAAACTATGGCCAAAGGCCATGTGATTGTCCGAAAGATGCAGGCCTTGGAAGCTGTCGGTGGTGTCACAAACATCTGCTCGGATAAGACCGGTACACTCACGCAAGGCAAGATGATTGCTCGTAAGGCATTTGTTCCTGGATTGGCCGATGTAGTCAGTATTCAAGATACCTCAGCTCCCTTTGACCCTACTAGCGGGATCGCGACCATTGGAGATACGGTTGTTGATGGGGATATGGTTGAGAAATCAAAACCCTTGGAGCGATTCTTGGATGCTATCGCCCTTTGCAACTTATCTGTTATACGTAGGAATGACGACCTGGCCATGTCTTCTGAAAAGCCTACTGACAATTGGACCGCGTCGGGGGAACCTACTGAAATTTCATTACAGGTTCTTGCCACGAGATTTGGACGTGGAAAGCCTTCTCTCATTGATAGTGGAAACTGGGATCTCTTGGCTGAACATCCTTTCGACTCTACCGTTAAACGCATGACAGTTATCTATAAGAATATACACACCAACACCGTCGAGGCATTTATGAAGGGAGCCGGGGAAGTCGTTATTCCAAATCTCAACATCCCAGGGGAGGAGAAAGAAGAAATCTTGAACAGAATTGAACGCCTTGCTGGGGAGGGACTTCGTGTCCTTTGCGTGGCGCAGAAGACTCTTCCCTCTAGTGCAACGTGCGATACCGGCAACCGTGCCGCCGTGGAATCACAGATGAACTTCCTTGGGTTGGTTGGCCTCTACGACCCGCCGAGATTGGAAACTTTCGAGGCCGTCCGCAAGTGTAAGGTTGCAGGTGTCAAAGTCCACATGTTAACCGGAGATCATATTCGAACAGCGGCGGCGATCGCCCATGAGGTCGGAATCATTTCTCCTGCTATGCCTGCCGCCCAGGCCGCTACCATGGTTATGACTGCTGGCCAATTTGATGCCCTTAGCGAAGACGAGATTGATAAGCTAGAGGCTTTGCCTTTGGTAATCGCTCGTTGCTCCCCAACCACCAAAGTCAGAATGGTTGAAGCTTTGCATAGGCGCGGTGCCTTCTGTGTTATGACTGGTGATGGTGTCAATGATTCTCCTGCGCTCAAGCGGGCTGATGTCGGAATTGCAATGGGTCTCAGTGGCAGCGATGTCGCCAAAGACGCTAGTGATCTCGTTTTAACTGATGATAACTTTGCCAGTATCGTTCGCGCAGTTGAGGAAGGCAGAAGGTTGTTTGATAACATCCAAAAGGTAGGCTTATTCGCTTCTTGGCTGCCCGCACTTTACCTTTTTTTAACATTGTCCTAGTTTATCATGCATCTTCTCATTTCGAATATCTCGCAAGTTGTCTTACTGTTGATTGGTCTCGCTTTCGCGGACAGAAACGGTGTTTCCGTATTTCCTCTCAGTCCTTTGGAGATTTTGTGGGTCAACATGATCACCAGCTCCTTCTTGGCATTAGGACTTGGGCTTGAGGAAGCTCAGCCCGATATCATGCTACGACCCCCTCATGATCTGAGGCAGGGTGTTTTCACCTGGGAGGTTATCATCGATAAGATGATTTATGGTATCACCATGGGAACCCTCTGCCTTATAAGTTTTATTATTGTCGCTTACGGGCACGGCGACGGTGATCTCGGTTACGACTGTAACCATGCCTACAACAGCTCTTGCGGCAACGTCTTCCGTGCGCGCGCTACCGTATTTGCTGTATTGTCCTTCCTCTTACTCCTTACAGCTTGGGAAGTCAAGCATTTTTCCCGCTCCTTGTTCAACCTCGACCCTGCCCGCCATAAAGGACCTCTCAGCATTTTCCACACTCTCTGGTATAACCAGTTCTTGTTTTGGGCTGTCTTTGCCGGCTTCACCATCACCTTCCCTGTCATCTATATTCCAACTTTCAACACTGCCGTCTTCAAGCACATGGCCATCACTTGGGAATGGGGTGTTGTTCTTGGCTGCTCAGTTGCTTATTTGTTGGTTGTGGAGAGTTGGAAGGGGATCAAGAGGTGGAGGGGTATAGGTAGTGGCGTATTTGCCGGCAGGACGGAGGTACGGCTCGAGAATGGATTGGAGGCTGTGTCCGGGGTTACAAGCGGGAGGACAAGTCGCAGTGGAACGATTGTCGAAGCGGAAGAGAGAAAAGGTTAGGATTGATGAATCCACGGATGCTGTGGAAAAATCTTTACACGTTAGGTTTGTGATGTGGTATGAGTGATGCTGGAGTGCTGGAATGCTGGATGACGAGAGGTGATGCCTTTTCATTTTTTTATACCTTAGCTAGCTCATATTTTTCCTTGGTTTTGTAGCTACTTTTGCTTTCAAAAATAAAGTACGTATACATATATGACGTCTTGCTAAATTTGGGTTGTGATGATTGTTCTGACTACCGGTAAGTGCTTGTTTGGATTTTTGTCTTGGAACTGTATTCGAGTACAGTGGACTATCGTATGTTGTGAACTCACTTGATGAGAGGCTCGGGGGCGGGGTTTTGTGCCCTTTCCCAATGAGCTCAACTCTACATAATATCACTGATGCACGAAATCTTGACGTTGAAACATCCAAACCATACTTCTGTTCACAGCCCCCCCACCTGCCTTCAGCACAGGAGGCCCAGGATCGGGGCCTACCGCTACTTGATATTCCAGTGAATTGTAGGCGTGGCCTGTCAACCTACCGGAACCGCCATCTCAAGACTCAGCCAAGACACCCATCCCCGAGGATTTACAAAGGGGAGCCATCAAGAGTATCTCAAATGCCGGATGGAAGTATGCTGAATACCCGCTTTTGAGACCTTGCCATCGCTAGGTAGTTCCATAGTGGGATACAAGTTAACCCGCTGAACTTCGGTAACGATGGAGGCACGGATGCTGACTGTCTCGCTCCAACGCTCACGTCTCTCACCAACACTTACCGTATGATTTAAAAGAAATCTCCCTCCTTCGCTGAGCACCCGCCGCTGCAGACCCCTCAAATTCCCCACAAATATTCCCGGGCCCCGGGGAAGTTTTGCCTCTCTGCGCGGGTGTTTGTGAAGTGCGCTGGAGCCAGTTGAGGAGGGCTGACCCGGTGAGAGACGGATTGGGGAGGTCAAGCTGAGGGTGATACAGTAGTTGGTTTGCGCTGTGCGAAGTGCTCGGGAACGATATTTTGTACTATAATACCTGTGTTTGTTCCTGTTTTTGGAATGTGGGGTGCGTTGAGGTCTCTATCTACTGAGTTGGCTTACGGTGCCAGACCTGCATCCCGCTACGCTTGTGAGTTTGCGGGTGAACGTGGAGTGTGGATGTTGTTTGTTTCACCAGATCATAACCGTTATGTTCCCTATCCGGCCAGACGCACTACGTACAACATTCACCAAATTTTTCTCGCGATATCCTACCAGGCTTCACATGGCGGATAGATCTATCGGCCGCACTCGTGGACGGAGCCACAAGCCACTCGGACGCCCCCCTCTCGGGCGGATTCTGATTCGCCGATTTCTTATGATGTTGAGGAAATCACCCATTGGCCCTCTCAGTTGCGACCTTTTATCAAATCTACAAGCATCTAGGGAGGTACTTGTACCAAATTCACCACAGGGAAGTTTCATCGAGTGAGAGTTTGTGGCTCTGCTACCGGCTTGTGGGTTTTTATTGGGAGGGGTTTTGTGCCGGCAATAGGGGTTCTCGAACAGGGTTGTTAAGATAACCCTGCGGGCGGGCGGGGTTCACTTGGAGGTATTGGAGGTAGGATGTGTTAGAGGATGATAATTGAAGAAGAACGTAGATTTACTGATGCGTTGTGGGGGATACTGGATTCGCTCCATCGGGGGGGGGGTTAGATGGATGCGGATATTTTGCCCCAGGTAAAATATCTGCCAATATGAACGTTTCTTAATGCTGGCCTTTCGACAGGGGAGAACCGTGTGTCCGGGTATGGTAACGCAGTACGTAATTGCCACATCTAGTAAGCAAGGGCAAATGAAAGATAAACGAAGGATCTGCGATCGGTCAAGAACCGCAAAAGTACTAGTGTACCCGTGCACCTTTGGCCCCGCACGTCCGCCGCTGTCCCCGCTGCAGTCCGGCAATTAATTTAAACTCTTGGATAGCCATAATTGTCGGAAAGTGATTAAAAATCAAACAAAAGTATACCGCGACATAGTGCCAATCGGGAGTGCTTTAGAAAGAAACAATTATTGATCCTGCATGCCTTCAATAGAATAGTGTACTCGAGCACATAGCCTCAATTACTTGTGGTTAATCTTCTGACTTATTGTGTAGTCTCTTTACATGGCCCGGGTGGGGAAGTAGAAAACATATTATCGCAGAGGCGAGTACGGACAGATTTTTTACGTTTCGGAAATGTTTTTGGCACCCTACTGAACAAGTACATCAGTCCTCCTCAAGGACACCCTCTTGGATCAGGTGGCGCCGAGTTGCGGCATTGATCGACCTGCGCAAAGCATCAAAACGGAGATGTAGAGTATCGGCTTCACCCCATACCTGATTTGCAAGATTCTCAAACTCACCACCGAGTATATCCCCCAGCGCTAGCATTAGCTTCTGGGTTCCATGGCATCATGGTGGCAGAAATAGAGTCTACATTCCACACATTAGTAGAGTAAAAACGGACCCATAATCGTGATAAATGTTACCTCTTTTCGACCATCCTTCTTCACAATACTATCCCTGAGGTGCCAGACTTCCACAAACCCATTTCGTATCTCCGAGGCGCTCGAGTTTGATTACTATCACTTTCAAAATTTTTCCCTCACTGCCCTCGAGGAGCAGCTTCACGTCTTCCTTCAGGTCGCCATACGGTTCCGCGTAACCGAACTCGAATACGATCGAGGGCCAAAAGCGTTGTCCTGGTACAAGCGCAATATCCGGGGCCTCGGTTCTGCACAGGTGTAAGAGTCATGTTTGGATAAGAATTATAAGAGTAGAGAATAGGACCCACATATTCTCATATTCGCCAGAGAATCCCTTAAGCTGTCCTTCAGCGATTAGATCAATATCTCCTCTGTCAAACGCCCCCTTTTCTATTCCCTCCGCAATCGATTCACTTGCCCGAGCTGATACTGAAGTCAGTGTTCCCAACCGTCCAGTCCGGACGGGGCAGATGGTGGTGCATGGGAGGATGCCCGGGACAGACTGCCAGGCCATGCGGGTGTTTCAAGATGGCTAATACCGTAAGCGAGATGGCTACAGGTGACTGCCAGTGACGGCCGGGCCCTGCGAATGACGCTCGGAAGATCCCATTTGTACCAAGACTGCAGGGCCCGGGTGTCAACCCCTAGGATCGCCGTCTCTACGGAAGACGGACGCCATGCCCTGCCGTCCTTACCCACCCTGCCCGGGACGCCCGGGACGGTCGGGAACACTGGATACCATCCCATGCATCTGGGTAGCTATATTCACCGTCAATTGCTTAATTGCTGGTCGATAGGTGTACCTATAGGAGATTGTCAATATCTAATAGCCAATGACCGGTTGGATTCTTACGCTCGGGCTCTGATCAACTTTTCTGATCTCGGGAATTCTTCTGCAGGAATACCTACAACAAGATATTCGTCCCGCAAGAGAACACCTGACAGCTCATCTGGTGTCATCACAGCTAGTGGATTATGAGAATTTGTAGTAATAGGGAGGACGATAGACAGGAAAGCAAGGGTGAATCGGGCGGGGGTGTCGCGGCCGATTTATTTGCACAAGAATGGAGGAGCAAACACAACGTGCTGCGTTGATATGTGCACCGCTTGTTTGGAGGTTCTGTTAGAGTTCAAGTGCTTACAGTTTGTATGTTACACTCGATGCTCACACAGCGTTTTACGGCTAGTGTAACAACCAAAACTTGAAAGCTGTATGATACCTCTGCAAACATCTGGGGTGGGTTTTGCCACCACCAAGTAGGAGGACAAAATACAAGATTGGAGAATTTTGTGAGGTTCAACCGAGCAGTGGTGTTCTCTCGGTGCAAATTGCAAGGTTCAAGCTCACAGAATGAGGTTCTAAAAACACTAGGTTGGACCTTTTGGTCTGACCTGTTTCCGCAAACTTGTTGCTTGCAACCCCAGAGTAACATCTTAACTCTACTCATCAGCATACTATTTGTAATCACATTCGCCATTCCACTGCTTGCCTCCCCCAACCCGCCGTCTCATGGAGTTCAAAATCTACCATCACTCACACCCGTACTTTCAATACCTGTCCACTCAACCTTCTACACTGTAACAACCCTTCAAGAAGGGCAGCAGTTACAGAATGCCAAACCTTATACCCATACCGGTATCAAGAGAGAACCGGATAGGAATGGCAGCAATGTGCCATTGAGCTGTAAAGCAATTAACATTAAATTGTAAAGCTCCGTTGACAGACAATGATATATTAAGCCATGAAAAATTGTGTTGAGCCACAAGTTATGTTGAGCTGGCATGCACTCTCTAGAGTGCCCCAGGTCGTGAGCGAGCGAACGACCAAGGGTGGTGGTGGCTAGCTACAACCTTGGCACGAGTACCGATGCGGGAGGAAAAATTGCAGGATAATAATTATTATATTATCATTGCCGAATAATATTTCTTGAGGGTTTCAAAAGGCTTGGCCTGGCCGCCTGCGAACATTGGACAAAACGAAACAGAGTACAAGGTGGGGAAAGCGAAGTTTCATCTACATGGCCACCGCCGAGTTTGTCTCGAAATGTGCCCCCTCAGTTCTGCGGCTCTCCCTAGCATGCTGGCTTATATGGTTCCAGTCCAAAAGCTGTTCCTTTTCTTAACTACTTCTTTGGGCGATCATTATCAGTAGAATCAAGCCACGATCACCGCATCTCACTCGCTCCAACTTGATATCTTTCTTTGCCGCCCTTGGTGCCTGCCAGGTCGAGGGCCTTTTTGTGTGAGGTAGATATAGTGCAGCTCGCCTTGGTCGCTTCGAATTTTTCTCACTCTGCGTGCGATTAATGGATTGGTGGGGATTAGGGAGAGAAATTTCGGGGTAGCTGAATAGGCCACAAAGCATCCGATGTATGTATCCTATGCATGTATCCTATGTCACTATCCGATCATGCTCTTTCTATGCTCTAGAACCACGGAGAAGAAGCAATAAAACTATGAGAATATCCCGTGAGATGGAAGGCTATGAGAAAAGAGAATGCCGGAGTTGAAGAAGGTATGACGATAGAGTTGAGGGAATGGGGGGGGGGGAGACATGAGAAAGAACCACAAGGAAACTTGTGATGAAAATGCCTTTAGAATTCAAAAGATGTGATTGTATGACAGATCACCACCCAACCCAACAGATAACCGAGCACCTATCAAACCCTGCAGGGCTTATAGAGTCATGGCACGTCTTTCCCATCTCTG